AAAGATGAGAACGGGATAGCTAGATTTATATGAAAAGACTATGGCAATTCTGAAGATCCACTTGAAAGTACGGTGACTTGTTTCGCTACTGCGCTGTTTAGAGTTTGATTTTATCACCATATTACGCCTCACCCTGCACATTGTATGTGCCACTAGGTCAATCGTCCCATACATTTTCAGATCAGAATCAGTCTTGCTGTTTTGCTTCAGTTATCATTTTTTAGATTTACTTCATACTCTGCTTCCTTTTGAAACGCCTTCTCGGAGCTCACCTATTGTGTTCACTAACTGCTCACCTTATCGGGGTCGTAGTTGGTCTGCAAAACAAACCAATCGTTGTCTCCATCAAAAAGTTTGCGTTCGAATTGGACACCTGTGGTGTTCCGAACGATGACGGAACCTTCACCTAAACGATTAAGGTTGGAATGAGATCTCAATAAAATAATTGTGCACCTCAAATCCTTGTGTAAACACTATGCACTAATTTGTGCTGAGTTTTTCCAGCGAATCAACGGTAGTGGATGGCGGAGGCGTTGCGGTTTTGATGACGTCATTGGTGGGAGTGCATTATTAGACGATAGCAACCCTACCCCCACTGAGGTGCTTAGTATCAATGACGTTCAATGACGTCATCAAAACCGCTCCGTCCTCCAGCCATCGGTGAACAGATTTGAAAGCAAAACTGGAAAAGCAGAAAAGAATTACAAGCCCGAATGAGTGTTCTCAGCCCGATGTGAGAAGAAAACGGGTTACCTGGTTTATTGCCTCCTAAGATGAAGTACGCTCCAGATAGCAGGGGAACTTTATAGATGAACTGTTGAGCTTCCTGAATAAAGTACTGATTCTGGTGTTACAGGGCGCCATAACTTTTGCATAACATTGCGAAGGAATTTTACAAGCTACTTTTTATGAGCTACCAATTTTTATGAGCTCTTGTCAACTGTGGAAATGGATGAAGAACCGTTCAGCTCCTTCGATTTCGTTCAAGTCACTAATTTCTTTTCTAATCAAAATATAGTACAGTGCACAAACTCTTCCCAGCAGAGAAACTAAGTGTACTCACTGTAACCTCCTCCTCCATACACAGTTTAGGGGTGTACCTCACTTACCCCCTCCCCTTCAAAAAGCGAGAAAGTGTCGGGTGCAGACCATGCACCACAAGTGACGACGGCCTTCACAAAATGTTAATGTTTTCTGCCAATGAAATGATTAGCCTGTTGCAGTTGTATTGTCACTAATTACAACTATCATTTACCAGAAATCAGCTATCACTATGAACAACTTCTAACCAGATTTACTTGGAGGCCGTCGTCAGTTGTGGTGTTTGGTCTGCACCCGACACTTTCTCGCTTTTGAAGAGGAGCTTCCTGAAGGGGAGGCTACTTACCTCCGAGCTAATATTCCCAAGAGTACATCATTTGCTTCTGTCAAACGTGAAACTTACTTGGAAGGTGTTCGCCTCTTCGAAGAGTTTCCTGTCGAAATACATGGCGAACTCGATGTCAGGGCGATTTCCACCAAGCCACTGGATTATGTTGCCCAAGTCTGGTTCAACTTTGGCGTTCATCGAGAGCGAGAAGCCGTTTGGTTTCATTCCTGTGATTTTTATTGTTGTTGGTGGGATGTGACTGTAACTGCTGCCATTTAGAGTGACAATTCTTAACCTGTAAGAACACCGACGTGTCCGGCTAGGGTTGTCCCTTTGAACAAGGTGGTCCCATTACGAATGAAATTCAGATTGACTGTAACTTTCTTGAGAGAGTCAGTGAGATCCCAGGATTGAGCACCGATGTTCCAGACAAACAGCTGGACCAAAAGTCGAGATTTCTAGAACATTTTTGAGTCTCAGACGACGATGTCAGCAATTGTGGACCCACTTATATGTAGTGATGCTTGATAATTGCTTTTACCCTTCACGCTCTCGTTTCAGGCTTTGTAGCTTACCTAGCATGGAACATGTCCTTGTTGCCGGACGGTTGTGCCACAATGGATGTGCAAAAACGTGACAG